AAAAAAAAAAAAAAAAAAAAAAGTGTTATTATTATTTTTTGTTTTGTTTTACGATCCTTTTTTACTCGAGAAGAGAAAAACGCGAAATTGTACGAACTATTTGTTTAAGACGGCGTCGTTTCCAATGTTAACGTACAGGCACGTGGCGTCCATTCAGATGATATGTTCCACGTGTGTATGTTTCTTCATAATTAGATCCGACGGTTAGGATTCGTTTTTGACTTTTTCCTCCAACAAGTTGACAACTGGCAATGGGTCAAACGCGCTTCCAAATTATCTAGAGAATTACAAAATTTCCAAAATTTCCAAAAATCACTTTAATTAACTATTTATTTTCCCCATAAATCTAATTAATTTTCATTAATTAATAATGATTCCCAACAAAATCATGCTTCATGCTTCCACTAATTAATAATTAGTGGCACATTTATTTATCTTGGTGATAAAAGTCAACAAAAAAAAAAAAAAATTGTCGGTTGAAGCTCGAGTTCTCAAATCAGCCACATCGGGCATGCAGGTTTTACATATTTTACGGGCTACGGTCTTTTCTCAGTCAGACAAATTTTACCATTGTTGTGAATGTCGGTTGAATCTTGAGTTCTCAAGTCAGCCACATTGGGTGTGCAGGTTTTACACATTTTGCTGGGTACGGTCTTTTCTCATTCAGATAAATTTTACTATTACTATCATGTGAATGTCGGTTGAAGCTCGAGTTCTCAAATTAGCTACATCAGCTACGTTTTTGTCTCGACGTTAGTATGACATGAATGTTGGGTAGGTTAAGAAGTGGAAAACTAATAGCACTAAACCTACTACCATGAATACTAGTTAGTAGAGTAGTACGAAATATATATTAACACACGGGTAAGGAAGGGAACAAGAGTGGTCCGTACTGGAAATTGGTCGGAAAGAGCAGTGATCTGGTGGTGGCAGGTACACAAGAAGGACGCAGTTGATCACGTGCCCATTTCACGAGCTTTTTCCTTTCTTCCCTAAAGCCAAAGCCCTGTGAGCCGTGAGGTGGAAATTAGTAATTTAATATTAAAACTTTATTTATTAATATAATATAAAGTTTATAACATCTGATCTCGTGACTCTGTTATTTGTTTCTAATTAATTAAAATTTTAATCAAATATAAAAAAATAATAATAATAAAAAGATTTAGTTGACTTCCGATATAATTCATTTATAGTTTTTGTCTTTCTTAAGATTTGTTTGTTTGTTTATTAATCAATTAATTTGTACTTTTCCTTTTAATTAGGTGTTTTATTTATTTATTCATGATTTTTGTCGGTCCGATCTGAATGCACCTTAATCTTAAGAGAGCCTCGTAAGTCGATCTGTGTTCGAGTGATCTAGTAAAGTAAAATATTTCATAGATCGAAACTTCTATGGTTGTGAAGTATGCTTCTAAATGTGACAATGTCATGCTTAAGGGTGTATATAGATTGGGTTCGGTTAAGTTGGAAAAATCTTTTGAACCAACTTGAAATTTCGGGTTAGTTAGGTTGGCAACCTGAGCAACTCGAAAAGAGTTCACAATCAAACCCTCTAGTTTTGGAGTTGGGTTGTCGGGTTGTCTTTTTTAAAAAAAAAAATACATATTCCGTTAATAATTGAAATTTCGTAAAACTCAAATATCAAAACATTCACAAATCACATCAAATATTCTTAATATTTAAATACTTAGGAAAAAAAAAACTATATTTCTTAACCAGATAAATAATTTCATGATCGGAAGCTTACTTTTTTTTAAAAAAATTAAACTAAAAATAAAATACGAATATGAGAGGCAAAGAGATTGTGTTGGGCTTGGGCTTAACTTATAATGGGTCACATTTGGGCCAAACTTTAATGGGCCTAAAGTTTCATCAAACAAACCCGAACCCGAACCCGAGTAATTAGTATCGTTTGAGAATCTTGACTGAGTTTCAAATCTAAGATCTTTCATTCACATTTCCATGCATTGTATTGTATGGTCTAACAAAAGCTGCATACCCTTAAGTTGACAAAAGGAAAGAAGAGTTATAACCATTTTCAAGTTCAATTTTGTTTAGACGTCTTCTTCTTCTTGCTTGAAGGACGAACATTGAGAGACGTAACCTTGTTGAGCTCTGCTCGAGACGTAGCTTGAGTTGATTCCGACACTTTCAAACTATTCGAGATCAAAATGACATCCTTCAACTTCTCCAACATTTCAAATGCATCACGATTCCCGTTCTTGTACTGCACAAAGCATCAATCTGATTATAGATAACAAAGTCGAGAGACGACATAATTTAGACATGAACATAACACAGCATATGATGCGACTTTAGTAGCGAGGAGTTTTTCACAGTGGAACCTGTATTCAGTCTATGAATCCACATTGTGACGTTCTCAATTCAAAGTAGACTTTGGGTCAAAACCTAGACCAGAGGTGCCTAATTAGGGAGACTCATCGGGTAGCAAATATCATCCTCAGCTAAACCAAGTCTTGGGTGGTTAGCCTAATCGAACACCTTTTTCTAAAATATCAACGTGGTCTCGAGGAGGTTCAAAATACTCCTAGCCCAAGCCCACCACTAGCAGATATTATCCTATCTGGGCTTTCCCTTCGAGGGCTTCCCCTCAAGGTTTTAAAACGCGTTTGTTAGGGAGAGGTTTCCACACCCTTATAAGGAATGCTTTGTTTTCCTCTCCAATTGATGTGGGATCTCACAACATAGACCATTAGAAATGGCAACGCGTAGTTCTCAGAAAATGGTATACATCGGAGGTCATATCGGAAATAATTAGGTCGACTAGCAAGTTCTTTTCCTCCCCTCCTTTTGAAGGCAAGTCATGATACCTTTCTAATTCTTATGACTGAGCTCGAGCGCTCTTTTACGAGTTCTTTTCGGAGATTTCTAATGGACATGTTCATTCTATGAACAAAACTACGACAGCTAGAAGAAGTGGAATTGGATAGAACATACTGCTTCAAATAAGCCAAGAGCCTTTTCCAATTTTAGAGTAAGCACTTGATTTTCTTCAGCTAGTTCTTCAATCTGCACATAAGCAAATAGTCGTCAAAATACAACACGGTTTGCAATGAATTCAAGTTGGGATCGAGAAAAATCGATGAATATAACCTTCTTCTGGGATACTATATACAAGCTCTTGTAGTTCATATCAGGTGTAGGTACCGTCGTTTCGGTCGGGCACGATCTTTTGATAACCTGCCATTCACAAATTCATGAGCAAAATCTTTCAACCTAAGAACACAAGAAACATAAAATGCTCCATACCTCAGTCTTTATTGAGTCTAAGGTATGGCCATGTGATTCAAGCAGTTTTACAATATAGTCAATTTTCCCTTCAAATTTCCTTCCCTCCATCATTAACTCTGGCCAGTAATTCTCTTCGTCGGCCGGTGGCGTACTTTTCTCATGGTCGGTAGGCAACTCATCGTCTCCATCACTTTCACTAAGAGTAATCTCTTCAATGACACTCTGTATTTTGAGGTTTTGAGGCATAGAATTTTGTATACGTTCGGATCGACGAACAGAGAACCCATTCATTTTCTTTTTCGAAGAACTTCGACTCGCTAATGGTGATTTTACTTTCTTCAAGGATGGACTGGTAGCTTCTGGTCTTTCAGAGGTCGTCATTGCGCTTTCGTGTGCTGCTTCTGTGCTCTGCAAAGACAAATGATCAAGTTATATCAATAGGGGCCAAGGATGAAAGTCGAGACACTCTAAACAACGTCCAAAGCATCGACCTCCCCAAGCTCAAATGACCAATAAAGATGTCATAAGAGGGCTATTGATGCAACTCTCTCAAAATATCCGAAAATGAAAAGACCAAGTAGTTGTGAGATCCCACATTGATTGTAAAGGGGAACGAAGCATTCCTTATAATTCCTTATCAATAGAAACCAAGGCTGAAAGTTGAGACACTCAATAACGTCTGAAGTGTCGACCCTCCCAAGCACAAATGACCAATAAAAATTTCACAAGAGGGCTATTGATGCAATGCTCTGGAGCAAAGAATATCCAAAAATGAAAAGGCCAAGTAGCTGAGAGACTCCACATTGGTTGAGGGGAACGAAACATTCCTTATAATTCCTTATCAACAAGGACCGAGGCTGAAAGTCGAGACACTCTAAACAACGTCTAAAGCATCGACCATCTCAAGAACAAATGACCAATAAAGATGTCACAAGAGGGCTATTGATGCAACACTCTGGAACAAAGAATACCCGAAAATGAAAGGTCAAGTAGATGGGAACGAAACATTCCTTACAATTCCTTATAAAAGTGTAAAATCTCTCCTTAGTAGACACGTTCTAAAACCGTGAGGCTAACGGCGATAGGTAACGAGCCACAGCGGACAATATCAGCTAGCCGTGAGCTTGAACCGTTTCAATAGCATAGATAGCTAGACTCCAAAAGAACCATATAATGAAAAATTTGTACACCTAAGGGACAAGTTTTCCCTTTCTTCCAGTAAAGAAGTTGAAGAAAAAGTGGTCTAGAAAGCAACACATATGAAATGAGAACTAAGTTGAATCATAAGAATCAAGAAACATTCAGCATAAACGTGATGCATTCATCTATATGCCCTAATTCAACTTCGTTTCAATCTACACACAAAAACACTTCAGTTCATATCAATGGAAATCAAAAGTTCTGTAAAGGTTTGGAGCTCTGAAATCGAAAACTTAATAACCGAAACCATTATTCGATCGAAACTAGTTTCAAGCAGGAAATCCTCCTCAGAAATGAGTGAAATAGTTCGATCAAAGAAAACAGCAGCCACCAGAAGATCGAAACAAGTAAAACAAGAGTTGAATCACTTACCAATTCGGCATTTCCCCCAGATTTTGCCGCCAGAGATTTCTTCCTCATTTTGTGGCTACAAAGACAAAACCCTCCCCCAGCGAAAAGATGAAGATATTGAAATCTCCCACCAAAATTTACGTTTCAATCGATTGCGGGCGATCCATTTCAGAACTTGGGGAAACGGCGAAAGACAGCTAATTCATTTCGATTTTCATAATTTAATGAAGAACAAAATCAAAATAAACGTCATTAAGAATCATTTTCTGGAAATGAAATCTTCAAATTTTAGAACACACCATTTGGGAGTCCACAATTATGGTGCCGCCAATAATATTCCGTTCACGATTTTGTGTGGGTTTTTTAGTTTTAGGCGTTTGTAATTAATTAATTAATTAATATATAATTCTAAAAATTTAAATTTTAAACTAAAACATTTTAATATTTTGTTCCAAAAATATTCCAAAAATATATTTAAATTTTCAAAAAAATTCAAAAAATTTACTAATACATTTAAATCTTTTAAAAATAACATTAATAAATAATAATCTTAATTAAAAAAAACTTTAATTTTTTAATATAAACTAAAATGGCTTATTTACCCTCCCTAAATCATCTATTTAAAATATTTTTAAGAAGTTTTTTTTATTTAAACTTTAAAAAATAACATTAATAAATAATAATCTTAATTTTATATAAACGAAAATTACTTTTTTACCTTCCATAATCATCTATTTAAAATATTTTTAAAAAGTTTTTTTATTTAAACTTTAAAAAATAACATTAATAAGTAATAATCTTAATTAAAAAAAACTTTAATTTTTTTTATATAAACAAAAATTACTTATTTACCCTCCATAATCATCTATTTAAAATATTTTTAAGAAGTTTTTTTTATTTAAACTTTAAAAAATAACATTAATGAATAATAATCTTAATTAAAAAAAACTTCAATTTTTTTATATAAACGAAAATTACTTATTTACCCTCCATAATCATCTATTTAAAATATTTTTTAAAACTTTTTTTTATTTAAACTTTAAAAAATAACATTAATAAATAATAATCTTAATTAAAAAAACTTTAATTTTTTTTATATAAACGAAAATTACTTATTTACCCTCAATATTTTTAAAAAGTTTTTATTTTATTTAAACTTTAAAAAATAACACTAATAAATAATAATCTTAATTAAAAAAACTTTAATTTTTTTAATATAAACAAAAATTACTTATTTACCCTCAATATTTTAAAAAAGTTTTTTTTTATTTAAACTTTAAAAAATAACATTAATAAATAATAATCTTAATTAAAAAAACTTTAATTTTTTTTATATAAACGAAAATTACTTATTTACCTTCCATAAATCATATATTTCAAATATTTTAAAAAAGTTTTTTTTTTATTTAAACTTAAAAAAAAAAACTTTAATTTTTTTATATAAACAAAAATTACATATTTACCCTCCATAAATCATCTATTTAAAAAGTTTTTTTATTTAAAATTAAAAAAAAACAAAAAAAAAACATGAATAAATTATCATCTTAATTAAGAAAAATCTTTAATTTTTTTTATGTAAACTAAAATTACTTATTTACCCTCCATACATCATCTATTTATTTCTTTAATTTCTAAAACTTTTCTAATATTTTTTTCTCTCTAATTAAATTTTAGAACTTTAAATAAATACGAAAAATTATTACATTTCTTGTAATAAAAAAAAAAAAAAAAAAAACTCGCGCATTTCTTGTAATCCATCCACCAACAGCTACATATAATTAATTATTTAAATAATGGAAATGCTTTTTTTTTTTAATCCAGAATTGAATTATTCTGATCTTACAAAAAATAAAAATAAAAATAATCAAAGATTGGGTGTTATCTGGTAAAGTCTGTTGTACCAAATGGAATGTAATATCATATGAAACAAATCATACTTTTGAGGCTTTGAATGCCAAAGAAAATGAGGCTGCACCTTCTTCACCCTCATCTGCATCTCCCTATACCTCTTCTCGGGTATCGACATCAGAATCTTCTTCAGGTTCGGTATCTCTTTCTCCGCTACGAACACCGCAAACGATTCCCAGTTAAGAACCCCAAACAACGGAGGCACGAAGTTATCCGATATGATCACTGGAACACATTCATACATGATCGATTCGACGACTCGGGGGCTGTTCACTTCGTATCCTTTAGCACAGATGCAGTATTTGCTGTTCTTCATGTGCCATAGGTAGTTCTTTCCACCCCCCTTCTTCCCCTTCCCCTTGACCTTTGGCATTGGCCCGGAGATTTTCATGTCAGGGTCTTTTCCTTCCCAATATTTCACGAGAATTGACCGTAAGTTGCCGTGCATTCTTCCTGCAAAGAACGCAAGGATCGGCCTCTTCGATGCAGGATTGCCACCGACATCTTTTAGAGGATTCCGAGCGACACGCACGGATGTTTCAGGAAGGGATACGTCCTTGCCGAAAACAAAACCTTCCTTGACATCGGAGTTGCACAGAGCTCTTATGCATTTTGCCATATACTTCCTGGTTTCTGCAGGTGCCTGCAAGTTTATTACATGGTGTTTAAGAGGCTTGATTCCGATACCGATATCGTTTATTAATATCGAGAATGTAAAGGAATAGACGTACCCAATCATGACAAGCAGCAATAAAATGATCGGCGCCTTCAGTTCTGTTCCAGGACGGATACTTTGCAGCAATCAAGTCCAAGTAGTTCTTGAGGTGTTGTATGAGGTTCGTGAAGCTGTGCGAGTCGCGAACGTATAAGGTGTCTTCCAATTGTCGAGAGCTGAAAGGCAAGTAAAATAGATGAGCTTTTTTTGGGTCCTTAGTAACGAATCTTTTGTTCGATTCGAGTATCTTCATGAACCACCCCTCGGAAGCATAGATACCCTGGAGCGGACCTTGGTGAAAGATTGGCCTCTCTCCTTCTCCATAGATGTACACTTTGAGAGTTTTCTCCATTAGTTCATAGCTTCTGCAAAATAGAATGCAATATAAATGAACAGAAACAAGATCTAGTTATTTGCATAATCGAGTTCGTGCTGGAAACATCGTAATCCCACCTTTTGAAAACAGAAACATTTCGAAACAGAGGAGAATATAGTATCGGGTCATTATCTATTACGGGTGCATTCTCAATCAGTAATTTGGCTTGTAACACTTCTTGATCAGTGGCCGAAGGCCATCTTGGTACCTGAAAATAATTTGAGAGATACAAGATAATCATTTAAGCCGTATAGTTCTTCGAGTTTTCTTAGAGAAAATCAACAGCACTTACGATTGGACGGTTGGACGAGCGGGTTTCAAACAACAAACTATCCATGTCAGATAGTGTATATATTCCTGAAGAAGGGTCTTTAGGCACTTTCTTCTTCTCAGAGACTGTCTTGTTTTTCCCTATACCGTGATCACCGTGCAATGGCTCAGTCTTCTCGTTCTTATCAGACGTATTTTTTTCATCTTTCTCTTCCACAGATGTTTTCAATTTATCAGAAGTGTCGGGAGCGTTGGATCCAAGGGAAGAGTTGGGGCTCGATGCATTCGTAGCAACACTACTTGTATTCCCAACTATCATTAAAGATGAACTCGTCGGTGGAACTGCAGGAGGGGCTGCAAAGTTATTGCTCGAGTGATTGTTGTATCCTATCGAATCATTTCGTAAAGAGTCATCTTTCCCATCAAAACTTCGATTATTTCCTTGCATATTGATGGTTGAATTCCCAACAGGTTCTATCAAATCCCCTGATGACGAAGGCTGATTAGCACGATCATAACTATGATTGGATGCAGTTGAATTTATACCATCTGCAAGTGGAGATTCGGCAACAAGCCCGGTCTTTGATATCGGATCATCGACAGGGGAAGAACGGGAACTGCCTTCTTCATTGACAATAACCTTACCAACAGAAAATAAAGAAAACAAAGAATACCCAAATGAAAGCTCAAAGCATTGAAACGCCAAAATCATAGCAAACATCACCCCCATCAGCCATATCACTCTTCTCGAACCGATTTGAGATATCGAACAGAGTTCTTGACCCATCTTGAAAAACTATCAAATGATCATAATCCAACGATGATATTTTAAAACCCCACGCTAAGATGGAAAACTCCCTGTCATAAATATAGAAAAGGAATCTAATACTGTTCATTCCTCTGTTCATAGACACAGTATAAAGACAGCAATATACGCATTAATGAAAGGAATCAAAGTAGCAATACTGTTTCATACAAGGCTTTAAGCAGCCCATTCTGTTGCTACAAATATACTAAGTTCATAAGATCTGTCTCACCAGCATTAGAAGAATTCCTATGTTTGATGAAACCAACCAAAAGAAAGAAAATTAAACCAATCTGTCATAAATATTCAAAAGAAAAACTGTAACATGATTCGTTATCATACCAAGAACAGAAACAGCAAGGCATCCATTAATGGAAAATATGTATTAATGATTCATTTAACCTCAATAAACGCTAATACCATCAAAGTAAAACAGTGCCTACATTGATTTATAAGATTCATCGAAGTAAAAGTATGATTTCAGTCAAGAACATTTTAAAATCTTGCAGGGTTCCATTTGATTTTAGCCATTTTTGAATTTGCACAAAGCATCAAGTTAATGCAAATCAACTCAGATGAACTGTAATGACGATCAGAGCTCATGATCTGGTTCATGCAAGAAGGAAATACTCAATCAAAGTCCACAAGAATCACATCCATTAATACACCATTCTTTGAATTTCAAAGGACCTAGATACGATTTCGAATTACTTCCTAGAAAACACTTGAATCATCTACAAACCAGTAAAAATTACGAAGAATTGTAATAGAAAACGAGATTCAAACCTTCAAAACATTGAATCCACGAAATGGATCTCGAGCAAAACAGCAGCGGAGAGAGGTGACTTAAGAATCGCGATTTAAACCCATTTGAATCGTTTCTGGGAGATTCATGCGGTGTCTGAAGATCCAAAGAAGGAAACAAAACTAGGTTCGATAATCGAGAGCTACGTGGCTGGCTTCTACAAGCGTCAGAAGCTGGTTGGGGAATGGTAAGAAATTTGAGTAAGTGTTATTAGGTGCTTTGCTTGGCGCTTCTGCTACTGATTTTGCCGCTTTTGGAAAAGTCACGGCCGGAGAAGAGTAGCTATTGATTTGATGTCCGGTGAAATGGCGTGAACCATCGCCGGCCATTGACGATTCATCATCGCCGCCGCCGCAGTCGATTTGGTCTAAACAGGCGGCGGTATCGGTCGCCGTCATTTGGGCCTAAACAAACGGTTTCCTTTTCTGTGTCTCGAACGCTTACATGCCGCCGAGGAATTCGCTTTCAAAAATCGTAATAAATTATTTTCTTTATTAATTTAGTCTTTCAATTAAAAAAATAAAATATTGGTTGTGAGTTGACTTTGACTTAATTTAACGTTTTTTTTAAAATGTTTCTTTAATGTAATTTCACGTATTATTTTAATAATAGAAAAATAAGGAAATTAACAAAAATATAAATAATATATTCTTCAATAATAAAAACAATATAATATACCTTTTTTTTTTTTACAGAAATTACGCCACATAGTATATTTTGCATCAATTTTATTACATTTTTACCCTTGAAAATTCTTCATATTTTTTTAATTATGATATTAATGTAATTATTCGTTTAAATTTTTTTCATTAATTACATGTGATTATTTTTGGTAATTTTAATACAATACTGTCAAAATCTTCCAATTTTGCATTATTTTCAAGCAAGAAAAAAAGGGTAATGTTTTTATTTATTTATTATTTGGGTAAATTGTATATTTGTTTTATTCGAATTTTATAATTGAAATAATTAAAAGGAACTAATTCATTTACGTATAATCTACGAATTAAAAAATTCAACACGTTCACACGCTTTAAGTCAGTGTTTAAACCTGAACCCACGTTATTGCAGCTGATGTTTATCTAAAACATCAAGAAAAATTAAGATTCGTTGACCGAAAAGTCAAGAAAAATATTTCAAAATTGATATTTATTCTTAAATCCGACAAAAAAAATTTTGAGTCATTTTTATGACTATATATACACAAAAGGAAGGACATGGGAAATAGCTCTTTTGATATCTTAAATGGGCTTTAGGCCCAATGTTTGGGCTTGGATGGCCCATGAAATTCCAATGGGTTTGCCCATGAGGCTATGAGAAATAGCTCTTTTGATTCTTAACTGGGCTTTAGGCCCATCAAATTCCAATGGGTTAGCCCATGAGGCTATGAGTATGATTTTAAGATAAGTTTTATGGAATTGAGCTTTCATTAATTGAAAAATCTAAATAATAATAATAATTAAAAAAACCCTCAATATTTATTAAGGTAATTATGTGTATATATATTATTGTTTAGTTTAAAATTTTGAAAAGCTATAAAAAAAAATTAAGTTCTAAAATTAAATAAAAAATTTGAATCTTTTAAGGAACTAGATTTATTATAATATATTCTCGGGTTGAAGGACTACAAACAAAAGAACCCGAGATGATATGTTTTAGCTTTGAATTTAAGTACAAACGTTTCAAAATCGACAAAGTTCAATTTTGAATTATTTTTGAAGTTTGAGATTAATTTCTAAATAGTTAGACGATCAAGTAACCTAGTACTAAAGTGAACAACATTAAAGATTAAGAACTAATTATAAATTAAATTACGAAAGGATCAAATATACGAGGAGATTATCTCAAGAACAAAAAATTAAAAAAAGAAAAAAAGTGAATTTGATTCCAAAATTAAACTTTCTCACCTTAGAATAAGAGAAAAGTTGAATTCTTTATCCCAACCACTTGCTTATGTCGTAATTACCACCATACAACAAACATGTCTGCTGTGTTTTTTTCTCCTTCTTACCTTTATGTTCCCTTTTTGTACATGTAGGAGAGAGAAGCAGAGACAGAGGAGAGAGAAAAACAGAGTAAAACTTCCCTCACCTCCTTTTCCACTATAAATTCCTACCCTCACCCACTTCTTTCTTCATCTTTAACTCCCTTCTCTCTCCTCCACAACCCAGCTATCTTCAATTCCGACCAAAACCCATTTCATTTTGTTGTGTTTTCACCTCAATTCAACTTCAAAGTTGCAACCTTTTTGGCCATTTATTCATACCCAGAACTCACTGTTTGCTCTACTCTGTTTTTTTCCCCTGTTTTTTTGGAACTTGGTCGAAATAATGTCGTCCAGTATCTATCAAGGGTTACAATCATGTCTTATAGAACCACGTGTTTTAAGTCTCAAATTAACTCCCTCTCTGAATTCTTCCCGGCTGCCGGCGGTGGAAGAAGATTCTGATCTCTCTGCTGAAACCCATATGGAAATGGGGGAGAATTACGCCGGCGAAGGAGATTCTCCGGCCGACGATGGGGAAGCAGCGAGTGGCGGCGGGAATGGTGTTGGTGGGTGGAGTTTTCTCCAAGCTCTGTCTGATGTGTATGTTCCTCCTCCGACGAAGGAATATTCTCCGGCGGTGGCACTCACCGGGAAGAGCCTCGATATCTGTACCGAGAGCTTGGGCAGCGAGACCGGGAGCGACGGCAGCGAGATTGGCGGTGATGAGAAAATCTCTCTGTTTTTGTCTAATGAAATAGAGATGTCTCCGCTGTTTGCCTCCGGTGGAAATCTGCCACGATCGTCGAGGCTCCGATCAAGAAAACTAGCCAAGCCCAGGTGAAAATTACACTATATTGAATCTTTCCGTGACCAAATCCTAAAAATAAGATAAAATATATCAAATATACTTAACCCCGGAAGCCTATCGAATTAGAGCTATATAAAATATGGTCCAATATTATTTTCGTCCCACCTATTTATTCATATTCTTAATATACAGCTACCCGCCACCATTGACGTCGCGGAGCGGGCCAATGGGTGTGAAAGTGAGGCCTTACCGGGAAGGCGGGCGGCTGGTTCTGCAAGCGGTGGTGATTTCATCCACGAAGCCGTGTTTCGAGGTGGAGCGCGGCGGGGGAAGGCTGAGGTTGAGATTGTTGAAGCATTGTTTAGAAGAAGAGGAGGAAGAGCAAGTGGAAGAGGGAGCAGAAAGGGAGGAGGATAGTAATGAGAGCGGCGGAAGGCGGCGGAAGGGTCGGCGGTGCAAGGAAGGTGGCGGAGGAAGGAAGGAATTAGTGAATTGGGAGCCATTTTTGGTGTCCACTTGAACAACCTCACTCCATTTCTTCCCTTATGTCTATGATAGATTTTGTACGTTTGATTTTGCAATATGGTAATGACAGTTATTATGGTTACTCTCTCTCACATAAACACCCTTATCAAGAACAAGCACGTGTAATTACAACAAATCTACGAGTAATTAGGGTTTGTGCAACAGCTCAAACCCACTATTAGCAAATATTGTCCGCTTTAGCCCGTTACGTATTTACGTCAGCTTCACGGTCTTAAAACGCGTCTGTTAGGGAGATGTTTCCATGTCCTTATAAGGAATGACTCGTTCCCCTCTCCAACCGATGTGAGATCTCACGGTTTGGTTGTAACTAGGGTTTTTGTTTTTCTTCTTCTACGAACTTTTCGAGGGATAATCTAAACGTTTTAATAACGGTTGAAATGAAGAAAGGGCATAAAGGAGAGGAAGTGCCAAGTTGCGAGGAAGAAGGACTAAAGGGGAGAGGACAAAGTGAGTACATGCTCTGCTAAGCTTCATATGGGTGTAGGACCCTAATGGTGAGACCAAATGGGGCTGAGTGAGACTGAGTCATTTCTGATCCATCATCATCATCCATGTGCTTCACTCTTCTTTCATCTCAAGCTTTTCTAAGCCTACATGATATCACATCTAGGCCTAGGACCCCCTTCTTTAATTATCTCTCAACAATCAAAATCGATCTAACCTCATTCTTTCGAGATCGATGGTCCCAACCCTAACTCGAAAGACGTTACGAAGTTGTACTTGTGAAAAAAGCTTTAAAACCCTAATTAAAGTTCTTTGCGATTCATCATCCCAACTCAAAATTGGAGAGAGGTTTGTAACAAAGAATCGAGATGTTGTAAAAGATGTGAGATGGTTAGGAACGGAAATGCTTTAGTTTATGTGAGATCTCACATCGGTTGGAGAGGAGAACGAAGCATTCCTTATAATAGTCTAAGCTCACTGCAAGCAGATATTGTCTTCTTTAGGATTTCCCTCTCGGGCTTCCCTCTCAATGGAATCCCATTCTAACTAAGGATTCTTGTGGTTCAGGAGAATCGAGCTACAGGAGAACCAGGAATGGAGAGCTTTCCCCCCTTTTCTGCCTGCCTCTTTGGTCTTAACAATGCTGGTTTTAAGAATGAGTGATTGCCCTTCTCTGACCCTTACTGCCCAACAGGATAGCGGACAGCTAATGCATGCCACTTATTGAACAGGGTTCTCTATGGTCGGTCCGCGACCCCTGGATACCGAAGACGTCCTTGGGGTGATCTCGTAGTTCCTACGGGGTGGAGACGATGGGGTCAATCCTTGGATTTTCCTTCCTTTTGCCGCATTTCGCTCGAAGGGTTGAAGGGAGATAGTGCATCAAGCTGTTCGCAAGGACTAACTTGATCCTCTTCCCCAGGGATCTCAGATGAGGGAACCCTAAGAGAGCAGCTGACTCCAACTACCGTCCATGTACGATCCATACTAGATCTGACCAATTGGCCATCTTCGTCTCAGTAGAGTCTTTCAGTGGCATGTTTCGGTCCTCTTCCCCATTACTTAGAAAAAGTGAGCCACCGGTTCAGGTACAAGATACTTTCATTACCACCTGGACAATTAGACATCCAACCCCTACGCAACGACCAAATTGCAAGAGCGAAGCTCTACCAACTGAGCTATGTCCCCTGAGCCAAGTGGGGCCTGCATGAATAAGTCAGATGCTTCTATTCTTTTATTTTTTTCCTTGGCGCAGCTGGGCCATCCTAGACTTGAATCAGAGACCTCGCTCATGAAGTAAATCATTACACTTACGGTCCAACCAATTGGGAGAGAACCAATAGATTCCTTTTCGGGAGCGATTCATCCTTCCCGAACGTAGCATACAACTCTCTGTTGTACTACACTCTCCAAGTGTGCTTGTTCCCCCCTTCTTCCTTACCATGGCAAGTTTTTGTAAAACGCGTTTGCTAGGAAGAGGTTTCCACACTCTTATAAAGAATGCTTCATTCTCCTCCTTAACTGATGTAGGATCTCACAATCCACCCTCCTCCATAGCCCAGAGTCTTCGATGACACTCGTTCCCCTCTCCAAACAATGTGGGATTTCATAATCCACCCCCTTCAGGGCCCTCGTTGGCACATTGCCTAGTGTCCGCCCCTTTTGGGGCCAGCGTCTTCACTGGCACATTGCCCAGTGTCCATCCCCACTTTGGGGCTCAGCATCCTCTCTGACAAATCGCCTGGCGTCCACCCCCTTCAGGGCTCAGTTTCCTTGCTGGCACACTACCTAGTATCTGAAAAGTCTAAAGAGGACGATATTTGCTAGAGATAAGCTTGTGCGAAAGAGAGATGGGCCGTCCAATCATGGAGTTTAGGGTTACCCTTAGATGGAAGGGTACAACTTTTATGGGGAGTGGTTGCTTGGATAGGGAAAGGAAGGTGTCAACTAAAGCATAAATTGCATCATTGTGTCCCTAAAATCATGTGCTTCAAGAATTACCCCTTCCTTCCATATGGTATATGTCTTTGTGTAGGTACTTTTAGAGAGAGAGAGAGGGTACCCATTTTCTCTCACCAAATCCTGTCCCCATTAAACAAAAAATCTTGAAATGTCATCTTCAAGATTGTATGTATCCACCTGCACAAAGTTCTTGTTTGGAAATGCACTTTGCACAAGTGAATTATGTGCATACTTGAAGTTTGAGCTGAATAATCACTAATGAGAGGATAAGAACTATAACGATCCACTCGAAAAGAAACAAGCACTTGTCGTTCGTGACATCCCGACTGTCGAAGGAAGTTAGTGAAGCTTATCATAAAAGGGACGACTCGTGAACTAATAAAAGCGGATAGAGTATTATTCATTTTCATGAATCTACGTGGAAACCCTCTTTAGTGGAAGTTTAGCTTTAGCTGGTTTTAATAAAAAAATTGTCAGTTTTGTTTGGTGGGTCGGGAATTCAAACGAAAGCTCATCAGAAGACTGCAGGAGGAGACGTTATCTCTTGAATCAACAAGTTACACGAGTTGGGTCAATCTAACATCTTATGTCTAAGATTCAAGTTAAAAAAAATTTGAAGTCGGAAACTTGCACTTGATTGCTCCGACATTCTTGTACACCTTCTACTACATGGCTACCTTACCTATTTGTCTGGAAATGCTTCTAAAAGCAAAAATTATCTTCGTAGACCAACACGAGTCATTTCAACATGTTTGCCCTTACTCACATATTTTCGTATTAATCTGTAAGAATAGGATACAGAGAAATGACAGAGCATTAGATGCCAAATCCAAATTTCAAACCCTAATATGAATCTGGACATGAGACATTACAGTTATAACACAACGAACATCCTTAAAGTAAGACCAAAACACCTTTTTGTCTTCGAATCGTGTCGTTATCAAACTATACTTAAAGAATTAAAATACAATCACGTGATTATTACAACCATTATCGAAATACCAAATGCTTTTTATAAAATTGTTAATGTTATATTCAAACCAATCTTTGGGAAAGTTTTGATTCCTTGAACAATGTCCTCCATGGACATGCCCAAAGCTTTTAATTGCGAGTATCACTTTCATATGTTCTTGGAATTTTGAGGGCTCTATGCCTTATTCATCTCATTATTGGTTCATGATTCTAGAGTTTTAGATAAGAATTAAAAAAAGACATGGCTACAAACCCAAGTTTTGTTAGGGCCTTTCGTACCTTTCAATTTTATTCCAAATCTCTTTCTCCTTGGATATGCCCCATTCAAATTTTAAATTATACTTTAAAAAATTTCGGAAACCGGGTAATCCAACTCAAGAATATGTACGATTTGAATTGGGCTCAAATAAATAAAAATTTTATGGGTTCGTTGTATGGATTTCTTAAAAATTAGTTCGAGTTAAACTCAACTAACTCTTGTCACAATCGTACTTTGATAGTAGCGGACTTGCGATTGTGCGACACTCACTTCCTAACATCAAAGTGAGTTAAGTCTATTCGTTCTTGCGTCGCGTATGGCCTAAGAGACGTATACTCAGTCTCTGACCTTAGTTCAAGAAGAAAATTTTAAAAAATGGGGACAGAGAGATTTTAAAGGAGAGTTTTGAAAGCAAAATTTGAGAAATTTGAATGTAAGCAAAAGGCAAGGCTTACTACTTTCCGGTATATTTGTTTGCTTACCCTATAATTATATACACATATATATACATTTTTTTAATTATTTATTTTCTAACAATTTTTTAAAAAAAAATTTCAAAATACATATAATAAATTTTAATTCAACGTTTGGAAATAATGGTTTACATATGAACATTTTATTTTTATTAAAAATAAAATATAAATAAATGACGGTTAACAAGTCAAATCAACTTAGCCCAACTCAAATATTTTACCGTTGATTTGGATTAGAGTATTATTTAATAAAAATTACTTATGTTAAAAAAATTTAAATTAAATCTAAAAATTGTCTCATCCCGACTCAACTCAATTCACGAATACTCCTTTCATCAACTTAAACAAATTTGTGTCATAGGAATAGGAAGCCTTCCAATCCACACGCAAGGGAGAGAAACTTTAGAGGTTTATATGTGGTGCTTGCTTCCGTGTCACACTATTTGTCCTGCGTGGTAAAGTTTAACATTCTCCACATCTTACGTGTATAGTAGGACGAGATCCATGTCATCGACCCAATCCGAATATTTCATTTTTCACTCAAGCTCCTTTTTGTTTATTTGTGTCTTCATAAAATCAACCAAGAAAAATATGACACATGTTTTTATATTTATTAAAAATATGTTAATTAAAAAAAAGTAGAAAGGGTTGAAATATATATATATATATATATATATATATATATATATATATATATATATATATATATATATATATATATATATATATATATA